GGGCTGAGGGAGGACCCAGGTGGGGCTGAGGGAGGATCCGCGGGGCTGAGGGAGGACCCAGGTGGGCAGAGGGAGGATCTGTGGGGCTGATGGAGGTTCCAGGGGAGCTGAAGGCGACACAGCGGGCGGATTGAGGGAAGACCCAGGGGAGCTAAAAAAGGACACAGCGGGCTGAGGGGCATCTGAGAGGCTGAGGAGGGATCTGTGGGGCTGAAGGAAGATCCGAAAGGCTGATACAGCGAGGCTGAGGGGGGATCTGCAAGGTTGGCGGGGGCCGAGGAATACCCTATAGTTCACAACAAAATGAAGTCATTTGTGTCACAACATAATCAAAATGGAGAGGGGAGGGCCCTAAGGAAGCCGCCGTCACACACTAATGAAATGCCAGCGAGGCTCGCTGTTACCTTGTAAACAGAGCTTATTCCAGCCATTTCCACTGGCCTGCAGTATTCTAGATGAGATACCTGGACCAGGGCAGGCAGAGAGCATCGCTTATCTGCCCCAGCAAACCACGGTTGCTTTGTGCAACGAATTCCTGAGACTAGGACCTTTGTTTAGTGAAAGTTACAGATGAGGAATGTAATCACTTGTTCAGGCCCAGACAAACAGGACTGGAAAGGACAGGAGGCTCAGGCTTAGTGTCTGAAGTAAGAACTGTTTGCAAGGACTTTCTGAAAACCCCACAATAACCCCTTTTGTGTCCTTCTCGGGTCTGCTACTTTGACAAAATTTAGACCATCTTTAGGACTGCAGCAATTCAGATAAGATGCTCGGAGTAAACACGTCCAGTAATGGCAGCTTCACCAATGAACTGAGGACAACTTTGAGCTTTGGTGTTGGGCCTCTGGAACCAATGAATGCTTTCTAAGCAGCTTCTGTGAACCTGTCCCTTTTGGCTAATAAAAAGTTCCCTTTACCCTTCCCTTACCAGGAGTGCTGGTGGCTGGTGTTGTTGACAAAAAGAATCAAACTCTGTAAAATATTTTAAGAGATTTATTCTGAGCCAAATATGAGTAACCATGGCCTGTGACACAGCCCTGAGGACAGAGGTCCTGAGAACAGGTGTCCAAGGAGGTTGGGGTGCAGCTTGGTTTTATACATTTTAGGGAGGCATGAAACATCAAATACATTTAAAACCTCCATTGGTTTGGTTCAGAAAAGCAGGACAATTCGAAGTAGGGGTCAGGGGTGGTGACTTCCAGCTTATAAGTAGATTTAAAATTTTTCTGGTTGAGGATTGGTTGAATTTACCTAAAGACCTGGGATTAACAGAAGGGAATGTGTGGGTTAAGATAAAGGATTGTGGAGACCAAAGCTCTTATTTGCAGAGGAAGCCTTCAGGTAGTAGGCTTCAGAGAGAATCGGTTGTAAAATGTTTGTATCAGACTTAAAGTCTATGTCGATGTTAATGCCAGAGAGGTATAATGAGGCATGTCTGACCCCCACTTCTCGTCATGATCTGAACAAGTCTTTCAGGTCAAATTTTAAGAGTTCCAGGTCAGGCACAGTGGCTGACACCTGTACTCCCAGAACTTTGGGAGGCCAAGGCGGGTGAATCAGTTGAGGTCAAGAGTTCAAGGCCAGTCTGGCCAACAGGGTGAAACCTGGTCTCTACTTTAAAAAATACAAAAATTAGCCAGGCATGGTGGTGTGCACCTCTAATCTCAGCTACTCGGGAGGCTGAGGCAGGAGAATTGCTTGAACCCGGGAGGCGGAAGTTGCAGTGAGCAGAGATGGCGCCACTGTACTCCAGCCTGGGTGACAGAGCAAGACTTCGTCTCAAAAAAAAAAAAAAGAGTTCCTTGGCCAAGGAGGAAGTCCATTTAGATGGTTGGGGAGCCTTAGAATTTTATTTTTTATTTTTGGTTTACATTTGATTAAAAAAAACTTCAGCCAAATTAAATTTAAAGTTTAATTGGGCAATGAACGATTCATGAATCACACAGCCCCCAGAATCACAGCAGATTCACAGAGACTCCAGTGCAGGCACATGGTGGGAGATATGTAGACAAAGAAAGATAACTGATGTACAGAAATTGAAAGGGAAGTGCAGAATGGCTGGATTAGTTACAGGTTGGCGTTTGCCTTATTTGAACACAGTTCGAACCCTCAGCAGTGTATAAATGAAGTCCAGCCTCAGGGATTGGCCAGAACTCAGCTATTGCTACAGCTGCACACTCCTGTTAGCTTTTGAATCTGTCTATTAAGCTAGGTTGCAGTACCTCCATAAACACTCAAATATAGAAGTGTGAAGTCCTTCTCAGGCCATGTTTAGTTCACTTTAACAACTCCCCTCTTTTGGTGATTTTCTCAGTTTTGAGAGATTGACCAACACTTCAGTTATGGTTGTCACTATCCCCATTGTAAATGTAGTAATTTGCTCCTGAAACCCACAGGGAAACAGTAGAACCATAAGTTTTCCAAAGGTAGGAACAAGGATTGAGTAGAAAGTACCTGTTTGTGCTGGAACATCCTGTTTACAGGAGAAAAAATCTGGTGTGTTCTAGGATTTGTGTGTATCCTTAAAGTCTTGGTTTGATTATGTCGCATTTAGCACAAGTGACTCCATTTTAGTTTGGTTTGGCCTGTTGGGACCTCATGCATGAGTCCAAAACAGTGGTCTCTCATAAATTTGTTTTAAAAAAGATTATCCCTTTTTGGTCAGGTTCTCACTTAAGTGAGAGTGTGACCACTACTTAGGGCCTTAGCACCTCTCTCTGTTGCCATCATTTTGGGTTTCTGGTGTCGGCACATTATTTATAGGTTATGGTATCCTCGTGGTCACGTGTTTCTTTTGCTCTTTCATTACAGTTGAAGAGAGACCATTGATGTTCTAGAGATGGCTGCATGCAAACATTTAAAACCTTTAAGAAAGTACAGCACACCAGGGGGACTACTATTAGGACTATTGGGAGGAGTATGTTCCTTACCCACGGTCCCCATGAACCAAACCCCACCTAAAATTAAATAGATTGAAGAATGAGCTAGATGAAGAGTCTACTCGCTTGACTAAGTGGTTTTTTAATTAATCTCCTACAACTGAATTTTTATAATCTACATTTAATGTATTCCTCCATAGGCCACAAGTGCCAGCAGTGGCACAGATATTTTTCTGTTTGGCTATTTCTGTTATTTAGCATAACTTCCACAAGAGAATTTAGAGTCTGTTGTGTAACGATAGCCTTTATAGTAGAATCTGCTAGAGAGCCTATTATGCGGGATACATTTCTAACTATTGCGTATTTTATTCTAAACCATAGAAAAAGGACCTGACAAATGATGTCCTTCCAGAAGAGTGAAGTCCTCCTGGCAATGTTCTCTTTAACCCATGATGGGGATTAAGAGGAGTTTTTACTGATTATGAGGAAATGTGTATGCGCTATTAAAGTTGTTTTTTTCCAAAACCTAAAATGCAATAAAATAAATAAATGGGGAAAAAAAAAGTTGTTTTTTTCCCTGCATTGGACCTTCATCTTTTATCTATCAAAGTATAAGATTACTCGTGTATAAGGCTGGCTGCAAAATCCTTCACAAATGAAAATATACCCTATAAGTGAACATAATAGAATCCTTTTTCATTTGTATTGTTCATAGAGGCATAAACAAGGAAAAAATATTCAAAGGTTAAGAGTCTCATGATAGTACAAGTCTTGATCTGTGATCTTGGGAAAAGCTGTTCACATCAAGGATGCCATCTTTTTCTGGGGAGAAACTTCCCTGGTTAGTTTTACCTTAGGGATTCCAATGAGTGTACCATTCCAAGAGTGTGGAGGGACGCTTCTCAGCTGTTTGATTATGAACCCGAGGTCAGGTTTCCAAAGTTCTGTTGCAGTGTGGGAGGACAGTCTTTCTCTGATGTTCTCAGAAGAGTCAGTCTTCAGGTTCTAGATTGTGAAGGGGTTGATTGTCCTCAGTGAACCATAAAAAGTTTACTTTATCTGGTGAAAATATACTCTGGCATAATAATTAGCTGTTATAACATAAAACATGCATTGAATATGACAATGGAATGAAATCCCGTTATACATGATTAAATGATGCATCAGGTGGCCAGATGTACCTGAAGATTTGATTACCTTCCCAGGAATATGGAACAAAGCATTAGTTTTACTTTTTTTATTGTTTTTACAAGAATCATCTACTTATTTATTTTACAGAGTAATGATTTAAATTGAGTACATTTGTGCACAGTACATATTTGACATGAAAAGTAGTTGTATCAGAATAGGCATCAGAAAAATACCAACTCATCTTACACATAATAACTACAAAATATTATTCTGTCTGATCATTTAAGTGTTACAAATCCTGAGAATGTTATACACTGAACAGATTAGGCACTACCTTAAAATTAAATCTCACTTGGAAAAAATCCTTTCAAA